GCGCGCCGAACTCGAAGGGGCCCGCCCTTGACGCAGGTGATTGCAGCAATAATGCATTTGGGCATGCGTGGGATGTGTTGGGAAGGGGTGCTTGATAAGTGCTTGCGTCGGAGCGAGGTCTTGCATGGGGTGACATGTGGTCAGGTTTTCCCAGCAGGTTCCACGCTGAAGTTATGGGTCCTTTTATTGTTCAGGGGATTGCATGATTGAAAATGCGTCCAGCTCTCCTTTCTTTTCCCAGTTTCCCTTATTCAAGAGGCTAAGGCCATTCCGCCGACCCTTGTAAAAGGCGGAGAAGCCACGGTTGAGGCGTCGTTAGCTTTTTGGGCACAATCTGGGGACTCTTGTGGGCGTCTTAAGAGCTGTTTTGGGGCCTGGTGGATCCTCTTGGAGGCAGTTTTAAAATGTTTTGAGAACCGTTTTGTGGCCTCTGTTGGGCCTCTTGGGGGCCTCTCGGGGCTTATTGGGGGCGTCTTTTGAGCCGCTTGGTGACTTCTTGGGTCCTTTGGGGGGCTTCTTGGGGCCGAAATATTGGCTTTTCAGTTCGTGTTCTCCCTCTTGGCCTCTCTTGGGCCTTCTTGGGACGATCTTTGGCCGTCGTGAGCTCCCTTTGGGCTGTCTTGGAACTCTCTTGAGCCGTCCTGGGGCCCTCGCAGGGGCCTCTTGGGCAGTTTTTTGGGCGGTCTACGGGGCCTGTTGGGTCGTCCTGGATCGTCGGAAGTTCGAGAAGACGATACCCTTCAAAAACCTGAGGGAAACCATTGATTCTTGCCTCCCGGAGCCCTCTTTGGAATGCTCCCTCTCTTGGACCGTCTCCGAGGCGTCTGGGGGCGTCTTGGAGCCATCGTAGGCGTCTTGGAGCCATCGTAGGCGTCTTGGGCCAATCGTTCGGCGATTCGGAGCCGTCTTGGAACGTGTTTGGGGCCACGGAAGGCAGCTCTGGGAGCCCCGGAGTCTTCTCCAGGGGTGCGCCAGGGAGCCCCAACGCCCACACCAAGGAGCCCCGATACTGCCCCGACGGAAACGAGATTTTGGACCCGGGGGGAAGGGGGAAACTGGGGAGGGGGGGCAGCCAATCATCTCACACGCCTTCTGACTCCCGGCAAGCGGGGGGTCGGCGGATCTCTTCCTCGCACACTTCTCGGCTGCTCATTGTCTCCCCGTCCGCTTCCCCCGCATCCTCCCTCTATTCTTTCGGGTGCCCACAAAGGACGTACGCGCCCAACCACGTACATGATTACGGCCCCCCCGAATCCGCCAGACCGACCTCGTGGTGCGAACGTTCGCGCAGTGCGTATTTTTGAAAACAGCGTGGATTCATGTACGTGTCCGTCCTTCTGCCGCTCCTGACTCTTCCTTCTCCTCTATTCCCTCCTTCCTGTATTTCCCCGCTCTCTCCTTCCACCCCCCCCGAGGAAGGTCTACCCTTAAGTCGGGCCTGTCCCTCTGCAGGAGGAATATTCCAAAATAGTAAGAAATAGTCAGGGGACGATTTCTGAGTATGTTTTGACTATTGCAGTGGCCTCTGGCCAGTGCCGCCGATCCGGGGTGCTACCGATTCTGCTTGCAACGGATGACCTTCTATGTTTGCAAGTAGAGCACTCGCTCGAGACATCCCCATAAGATAGATATGTTGAACTCGCTTGGGCAAACTTCGGATATTTGAAAGTGACGATCTTGAACAGCTAAACTCATGGGATGTCTCCTCCCACCTTCTGGGCCTGAATGGCGTCAGCCATGGCGTCAGCCCCCCTCCCCCCCCCCCCTCCAGATCCCCCTCCCGGGCCTGAATGGCGTCAGCCATTGCGCCAGCTCCCCCCCCCCCTCCCCCCCTCCCCCCGACTTTCTCCTCCCAAGCCTGAATGGCGTCAGCCATGGCGTTCCTCCCCCCCCCTTCCTCCCCATGGCGTTCCCACCCCCACCCCCTCCTCCCGCCTGGGCCTGAATGGCGTCAGCCCCCCCTCCTTCCCCTCTTCCTTCAAAAACAGTAGAACATAGTTCTGGGACGATTTCTGAGTATGTTTTGACTATTTAAAGGAATTTTTGGAGTATCTTTAGTTTTTCGCCTTAAATCCGCCTGTAGGGGGACAGGTCCGACCTAAGTCTACCCCATGGGCCCGAAGTGGGCCCCCAGAGGCCGAAAGTCTCGCCCCAGCTGTCCACGCCCTGATTTTTGTTCGTGGCCTCGGGAGGTTGGCCTCCTCATGCAGGGTCGACACTCGGCGGCGAGTAAGAGTGGAAGTGAGAAGAAGAAGGCTTCCTCGGAAGGCGGCGGGACTTCTCATAAGCCCTCGCGCCCTCTGAGAAGTTTTCTGTGTCGTCGCGGAGGGCTTGGACAGTTTCTCAGAAGGCCGTGGGGATGTCCGAGCCTTCTGACAAGGCCCGCCCCTTCTCACTTCCCCCCCGGGCTCGCCGCCGAGACACCCGGGCCTCTGCTGGGGCGAGCTCCCTCCAGTTGTTTTTTCAATCCGTCCGAGGTCTCCAGACCCGACGCCGCGCAAAAGTGCAGCAGCGTGAGAGATCACGACCGGGTTCCCGGTCTCCCGACGAGGAGGAGGAGGAGGAGGAGGAGGAGGAGGAGGAGGAGGAGGAGGAGAAGGACGAGGACGAGGAGGAGGAGGAGGAGGAGGAGGAGGAGGAGGAGGAGGAGGAGGGGATGAAGAGGAGGAGGAGAAGGAGGAGGAGGAGGAGCAGGGGGAGGAGGGGGAGGAGGAGTAGGATGTTGCAATGATGCAATGCACCAGACTCATTTCTGCATTACTGTTGCTGCCAAAGGCTTTGGGGGCTTATCACTGAGATGTTAGATCTCTCGTTCATTCCTGAATGTCCCATCCGCCGTTTTGGCCTTCTCTCGCCCGACTCTGATCCCTCTCTGATTTTGCCTGTTTGTGCCTATCTGCTCTTCGTTCGGATTCAAGCACTCCCCGCACCAGTGCCATACGAGCTCGCTGCTCAAACGTTTCCAGCAGTGAAGGCGCAGATTGTACGCCGTGCGGCCCGTCGGCATGCGGAGTGTGTGAACTCACTGCTGCAGCGACGTGCCCAGGAGTAGGAGGAGGATCGTGAATCCTTGCGGTCTCGGACTGCGAGGTCTGGGACACCCGCGGGGGCGCGAAGGTAGCCGCGCCACCGCGCGTGGCGGCGACTGGCCGCTGGGGGTCCCTCCTCCAGGACAGCGCGGCCAGGGCGCGAAGGCGTCCGCGCGCCTGGCGTCGCGGGGGGCGCCGCGCGAGAAGTCGAGGTGACCTGGGCACTGCGTGTGTGTCTCCTGTGCCGTCGGAGGCCAGGGGCCGAGCGAGCTCCCGCTGGCCCTCGTCGGTGTCGCAGGCGTCGCCCTCGTCCTCGACGTCGTCCTCGTCTTCGTCGTCGTTCTCGTCCTCCTCGTCGTCGTCCTCGTTCGAGTCGTCTTCGTCGCCCTCGGCGTCGCCGTCGTGGGTGTCGTCGTTGTCGTCAATGTCGTCGTCGTCGCCGCCGCCGTCGTGGTGGTTATTGTTGTTGCTTGTTTTTGTTGTCGTTGCCGTTGTTGTTGTAGTTGTTGTGGTTGTTGTTGTTGTTGGCTTCGTTGTTGTCGTTGCCGTTGTCGTTGCCCTTGTTGTTGTCGTTGCTACGGTTGTTGATGTTGTGGTTGTTGTTGTTGTTGTTGTGGTTGTTGTTGTTGCCGTCGTCGTCGGTGTTGTTGTTGTTGTTACTGTTGTTGTTGTTGCTGTTGTTGTTGTCGTCGTCGTTGTTGTATTCGTTGTTGTTTCTGTTGCTGTTGTTGCTGTTGTTGTTGTTGTCGTTGTTGTTGTTGTTGCTGTTGTTGTTGTCGTCGTCGTCGTTGTTGTATTTGTGGTTGTTTATGTTACTGTTGCTGTTGTTGTTGCTGTTGTTGTTGTTGTTGTTGTTGTTGTTGTTGTTGTTGTTCTTCGTGTTGTTGCTGTTGTTGTTGTTGCTGCTGTTGTTATTGTTGTTGTTGTTGCTGCTGTTGTGGTTCGTGTTTTTGTTTTTGTTTTGGTTCTTTTTATTATTGTTGTTGTTGTAGTTGTTGTTGTTGTTGTTGTTGTTGTTGTTGTTGTTGTCGTTGTCGTTGTCGTTGTCGTTGTCGTTGTCGTTGTCGTTGTCGTTGTCGTTGTCGTTGTCGTTGTCGTTGTCGTTGTCGTCGTCGTCGTCGTCGTCGTCGTCGTCGTGGTCGTCGTCGTCGTCGTCGTCGTTGTTGTTGTTGTTGTTGTTGTTGTTGTTGTTGTTGTTGTTGTGGTTGTTGTTGTTGTTGTTGTTGTTGAATTCTCATTTCTGAAAAATAATTGTTGTTGATTCCCCCTCACCGGTGCATGCTTTATCTTTCTCAATCAAATTGTGCCCCTCGACGCTCGCACCCGGTTATTTGACAGGGGAAATCTTGATGCTCAACCTGCGCCCCTGGCCCCCGGGTTACAGCAACAACGGCTCCCGCCTGAGACTTCCTCACAATTTAGCCAGGAGCCCGAGACTTCCTCGCATTTCATTCAGGAATCGCGCTCTCGCATGGGATTTCCTGACAATTTATTCAGGAATCGTTCTCCCGGCGCTCTGGAGTCGCGCTCTCGCTGGAGACTTGCTTGCAATTTACTAACGAATAGTGCCCTTCCGTTGGAATTTCCTGCAATTCATTCAAGCGCCGCGCTCCCGACACCCAGGCACCCAGGAATCGCGCTCACGCTTAGGACTCCCTCACAGATTACCTACGCATCGGGATCTCGCTGCCCTTCGTGGCCCCGTTGCAGCCCTTTGTGGCCCCCTCGCTTTGTTTCGTGGCCCCGTTCCAGCCTTTCGTGGCCCCCTCGCTTTGTTTCGTGGTCCCGTTGCAGCCCTTCGTGGCCTCCTCGCTGCCTTTCGTGGCCCCGTTGCAGCCCTCGCCCCCTGGCTTTGTTTCGCGGCCCCGTTGCAGCCCTCCGTGGCCCCCTCGCTGCCCTTCGTGGCCCCGTTGCAGCCCTTCGTGGCCCAGTTGCAGCCCTTCGCGGCCCCCTCGCTCCCCTTCGTGGCCC